TAAAGCAGGGGATGCTTTAGGGCGGGGCTACACGGTGATTGAGAGGTTGCTGCTGCAGAACTTATCTAAGTCCTATTTCAACGCAAAGATTAAAGATGTTGCAATACCATTTTTCCTTTCGGATTATTTTTGGGACGGTGGCAAAAAATAATAATATTCTGGATCCTTGTCGACCAACTGATGTAATCAAACAACAAAGAGATCTGTATCTGTTAATATGGATCATCAATGATCGGCGGCAGAAAGAACGTGATGAGGGATCTTTAAAAGTCATATTTGCTGACTTAGGTCTCTGTGGTCTTAGGTGATCCGTGAGGGTTTTGATCCGTTGCACCGCTAATACTGATCAAAAATAATCGTGATTATCATTTTTCTCCATCATGGTGCAGCTCTAGTGTGTGTAGCGCTCGTTTCACTCAGCGATGCAGAACTCACCGCTGGAGACTGAAGCTCCACAATCTGCTCACTTGGAATCCATGTGGCCTTCACCAGGTTTCCTCTGCAGTAGAACAAAAGCAGACAGTGTCCATCTCAACCCAAATACTTTACATTATGAGCAAAGAATAGAATAAAAATGCAAAAGAGTTAATAGACAGACGCACAACCCCGACATATTATCGTCTTTTACAGCTGCTTATTTACTCGTGCTACAGATGTGGAGCAACATTAGGGTTTTTTTTGGAGTCTTGTTTGAATGTGCGTCCAATATTCATGATGATTATTCATCCAAAAATCGTATTGTGTAAGCATTTTGTAAACGCAAAGTCAACCTTGCAATATCGTCACGATATCGAATATCCAAGGTATTTGGTCATAAATATCATGAATATTGTATTTACTCCAGCCGTAGCTGAACTTTAATGTGCCAAGAAAGCTAATCTATGAGGTTAAAGAAAACCTACGCTTGTTTCCTGAACTGCAAACGTTTCTCTCTGACAACAGGGCTCGTGGATGTTCACGACTACTCACAGCTTCTCCACTCGCTCCTCTGATATGAGGCTCCAGTGCTCAGTCAGACTCTGCTCAAGCCGCCGTCTTTGCTCGTCCGAGTCATCGGGGAAGAAGTCCTTCTGTCCTCTGACGGGGATCTTGTGGCTCCTGGACCGGGCTGCAAACAGTTCAGATGGACTGAAATTTAAAGAAAGAAAAGAAGCTTCAGCTTCCGGCCTTTGATCATCTGATCAGGAAATAAAGGCAAGACGTATAAATATATGCACTTAATGATCTGGATTAAAAAAATGTAGTTTTAAATTGAACTTCTTAGAGTCAATGAAGAAGTTAAAATGAAAGTATTCTAAATATAGCATTCACTTAAACTGATAATGATTCTTTTAGGAGTCTAAAATACGTCCCATTGCTCCATCTACTGTAGTAAAACACTGACTATAGTAGAAGTACCTCAAACAACCCTTTAATGGAGATGTTAACATTAGTTTGTAGTTTCTAACATTAGGGATTCAAGGTGAGCAGTGCACGGACTTTGAATAGTTTGATCTCTTAAAAAAAAGACACAACTTTAGAGCATCATTCAAGAAGAAGCAAATATCTCTTTCTATTAAAATATCCAAAATACCTGCTTATCCGTCCTAAAGAGACGAAAGACGCGGTGTGGTTTGAAGTCGGGTAGCTGCATACAGCAGTTACATGCACAGAATGTATCATTCTAATGGGAACCACAATAACTGATTACATCCTGATGTGTTACTACATTATAAACACAGCATTCACGCGTGTTGCTGCACGCTCTACTGCTCGGTGTTATATTACTTATGAAGCACAGCTGCATATAATAACAGTATTGTGTACTGTCATCGTGAGTCATATGTTCATGAGACCTCGCCCAGTCGTCTTACATTCATCTGAAAACAGGAAGTATTCAGACTCCTTACTGCAGTAAAACTATCAATACCAAGCTGTACAAATACCCTGTTACAAGTTAAAGTACTGCATTGAAAATGTTACTTAAATGAAAGTGTGTAATCAGGATGATGTCCCCTGTGAGTTTATATAAATATATATTTAAAGATGTATACATTTATATATGTTGTTACTCATTCATGTTTAAGGAGACAAAATGATGCAACGCTGCAAATAAAAATGTATTTATTTATATTAAATTATATATTATATATAAATATATGATTAATATTAATATATATCAAAAATATTATTCATAAATTAATTTTATTTAAATTTTTAATATTTTTATAATGTTGAAGTTTTTGTGACGGTGTCACTTTGAGCATTGAGTAATTGTGACTTCATAGCGTTACGTTAACATTTAACGTCAACATTTAACGTAAAAGTACTTACGTAAAGGAGCTGAATACTTACTACTGCACCACTGAGAACAACTCAAAAAAACATAAAAGGTACACAAAAATGAATAAAATAAAACACATATTTTATAAGTATATAAGTATTGCTCTCGTGTCGATGACTGTACGAATGTTACCCGTTAGAGAAACTCACGCACGTTAATATTTCATTGTAGAACTTCAATTCGGGCTCCTTCTTGTTTTGGTCCGCCATGTTTAATCAGCTCCCCCAGGTCACTACTGCGCATGACATTTTTCAGTGGAGCTGATTGGTTAGTTTTCACTTCTTCTTCTTCTTTTTTCTTTTTTGAGGTTTTTATTGGCGGTTGGCAAACATTACCGCCACCAGCTGGCTGATATTCCAAATAAGACAACAATCCTGCTCAGCCGTTTACATGATTATTGAAAATTATATATATATACTGTATATTTACATACATAAATATTCATATATACAAATATATTTATCTATTTATATATACAAATATAAATATATATTTGTTTTTTGCCCTTATTCAACAATAAGACAATTCCTGCTAAGCTGTTTACATGGTTATTGAAAATATATATACATACATAAATATTTATATACACAAATGATAAGAATCTGTAAACAGAGGAAACACTTCTTTTATGGTATTTTATTCTGAAACTTTTTTTTTTTGACAGGTGCCAGTTTGACAGGCATAGCAACAGTAACCAAGAGGGGGGAGGCTTAGCAAAGGATCAGTTGTTCCGAGATTTGAATTTATTGCTTTAAAAAAACGTTGGTTGCCTAGCAATGGTTGCTGAGCAGCAGAAGTTGTTTGGGTTCAGCCAATCAGAGCCTCCTTCCGTCTGCCTTTCCTCCTCTGAACTAGGAATGCTCACTGAACTCTCTACAGCACACGTTGTCTAGTCTTAATACTTTCAAACAGTATTTGAGGAAAATCAGTCATGAAGTACTCAGAGCTCAACATACCGATGAGCCACAACAAATCAACGAGTGCAATGGATACTTCAGAAACACAGCAGACTCAAAGGTTTACCATCCACCCACAGATCGAGGGCTATTTCGATAGCCTGACAGCAGAACAGTGGGAAGTGTTGGCATCGTGCGCCCCGGATGACTCCTCCAGAATTCTTATGTTAGAACTGCTTTTGGACATAATCTCAACCGTGTCCAAGACCTTGGTGGCCGCTTCAAGCAGCAGAAAGTCGGTGTCTCGAGAAGAGGTCAAGGCCTATCTGGGCAACACAGTCCTAGAGGAATTTAAAAAGGTGCTAAACATACCAGTTGGAGTCCAGTGCAAAAGCGGAGACCTCTTGACAAAACTGATCAGGTCAGAGATTGCAGACAATGTCAATTATGCCCTCTGCCCTCTGGCCCCAGAGCACATCCCTAACCCCGGCAGACTAAGTACAATGGTTTATTACGCCCTAACAATGATAAAGACATTCATAGGGAAGATGAAAAGGCTGTTTAAACCTCGTCCAAGAAGGCAGAGACCGAGTCCAGAATACCAGGTGTCAACCGACAGTGACGAGGGACCAATAACCGAGGAGAAGGTCCCATCAGACGGCCTGACTGAGTCGGAAATCATCCAGAGGCAGTTGGATGACATGACTGAGCCTCTCCTGAATGAAATGTCAGACGCTGAGTTTTAGGTTCTCCAATCTGACTGCTTCCTGGAAAAAGGTCTTCCGTGAGTTGACCTGAAGGGATCGGAGAAGACAGCCAAGACTCGAGGGCAAAAAGTCAAGAGCTTTATGACAAAGCACTTTGTCAAAACATGGCTGAATAGGATACTGCTTCAAATGAAGACCAAATTCAAGAAGCAGTCCAAGAAAGACAACGGCCCCATAACGATGACTGACTTAGAACAGTCCCTCCCCATCATACTGGGATGGCATGGTGACAAATCACAGGCTGGAAACCAGGATTGTCGGCTTCCGATGATTAATGGACTTCCTGACAGCAAAGCCATGGTAATGACACAGGAGCTGAGTGACATCATCTTCACCCACATGACTGGAGATTCGCGCCCGAGATCATCCCAGGAGCATCGAGAGGGAGGGAGTCTGACGGGACCGCGAGGGAACCCCAGTTACATGTTGACATTTACACTGAGATATGGGACAAAGTCTGGAACTTCCTGGGTCTGTTGGAGTGGTGGCAGAAGACTCAGGTCGACCATGTTGCTGAAAAGATGACAAAGGCTTTAGAGAAGTCGTCACCGTCACCGTCACCGGTCGTCGACGACCAGAAGAGGTCCATTGTTCCACAATGGACCTATGAACGACCTGCGCAGGACAACACAGAGAGGAAGAAAATCTTCATTGAGATCATCTTGCAGAAGCTGGATTCGCGGGCATTCAGGAAATGCAAAGTGAGGTGGAGCTTCGGGGATCTCTCGGCCATCGACATCGTTCAGCGTCTGTTGGAAAAGACGTGGGCCGAAGTCGAGGGCGTCACCTTTGATGTGACAGAAAAATCCTTTCAGGAACTCGACAACAAAATCTTCCACGAGCTGTGCAAGAAGAAGGGCAGTGCAGATGTAGTGCTGGATTGTTTGAAAGTAGGGGACGCAGCACTTGAAAACTGCATCGTCTCCTCCATCAACAAACACTTGACGTCATCAACAAATGAGAGCGGCTGCATCAGCAGGTTCTTCTCGTCCGTGGGCCGAGCCATGACCAAGCTCTGCAGGCGAGGAGAGAAGGTGTCGTGTACGTGAAGGCAACTTTTCGGGTTTTCTCCGGTTTCTCCCACATTAATTGAAGGTGATCTTCTCTTAAAAAACCCTCTGTAATATGGTTTTCATGTTGAATCCAATAAAGAGCTCCAGTCCTGCATCACATCCAGGTCTCCTCCTGTCCTCCGCC